GGCAAGTAAGCCAAGCCTGCAACTGAAGCACTATAACGTAGGTCTTCCAAAACCCACTTGAGTGTGGACAGTGTGTTCACCAAACCCAGAGACTCATCCCACAACTCCTGATGCAGCACTCCAGGAGCAAACCATTCAAAGGATTTAACTCAATGGAGGATACAAATCTTAATCTCCGCTGTGCACCACTCCTGATAGGTGATTTGGGCCAAACAGACTGACAATGATCCTCTAAACACTACAAGTTTTCAACAGTGTTTAGGAGTGAAGTAGGAGTCTTTCTCAGCCAAGAAAAATAAAAGCATTTAGAGCATTTTATATTATGAATCACTTCAGTACCCAAATTCTCAAGACATATTTCTTGACACAAAGCTGCATAGGTTGGATCAACAGAGAGAACAAGTGCATTTTAAACAAAGCCTTGATCCTTTATATGAATTGCAGTCTGGAATGACTGAGCAGCCTTGACATTCTCAGATGGTTTCACCGTGAACCTGTGGAAGGACACCCTAAACTTCCACATGACTCTGCAGCCCTGGACTGCCACTGCTTCCTCTGCATCCACTCACCCATGAGACCGCTCTGCAAATTTTAATTCTTGACCCCACATACAAAAGAATTAAAAGCAGTTGGACAGGAATTTTTCACTAGATTGAGTGCATTAAAGTGGCATGCTCTACCAAATATCAGAGCCAACTTAGGGGAAGGGGGACAGTGGCCGGGAGCAGTTAAGAGAAGGCAAAGATACCTTCTTCCCCAGACCGCAGTGAGCCCACCAGGCTGGTTTAACTGCTGCAGAACTGCAGCATAAATCAGAGCCTTCATATTGGCACAGTTATTAGCAAGGATTTTTAGTTAATTTTGACTCAAATCACACTTAAAACACACCAAATTCTCTGACCTACCATTCACAGAGGAACAGACTGGAGTCTTTCACAAAAGCATCCTAACCTATTTCCAAGAAGAGGTGTGCTTTGTTCCACAGCTGCAATATTGTGCCTTGAAAGGACCCAACACACAGTCATTCTGACAAAGGATTTAGCCTGGGACAAGATAAAGCCATCCTTAAACAAACAAACAAACAAACACTCAGTTAACACTCAGCCACAGGAAAGATCTGGGGCAGTTTCACCAAAACACATCCAAGATCATCTTGCCAGTTACAAGTTTATAAGGCTGACAATCACTAAAACCATATGAAATACGAGAACTTGGAAGGTGGCAATAACATTAGTGA